ACACTTGATACAAAAGAGATTTGTTAGGTTGGCAACTCAAAGTGGCTATAGAGACCACAGTCAACCACTTTTTAAAGAGCTTAGAATCATACAAATACATGATATATATAAAATCAATATTGCTGAATTTGTCTTTAAATGGAAAAATGATATAAACAATTATAAAACTATTTTTCCAGATTATTTCAAAACCCATGGAGATTTTCATAGATATAACACTAGAGGCAAATCAAACTTTACCCTTCCTAAAGCAAAAACTGAAAACTATGGCAAAAAAACAATAGCCTTTAGTGGTTCATCCATATGGAACAGTCTCCCAGAAGAAATAAAAAAGTCTAATTCAAGTTCTTTTCTTAAATCAAAGCTTAAGAAACATATTCTCTCAGCTTATTAATCATTGGTTGACTGTGTCACTTCTTGTTTCTTCGCTAAGAAGTTAGGGTAGGCTCTCAAGGGAGGTACATGGGCCGACCTGGGGGCTGCCCCGAACTACTGACGATTTAACACAATGATTCTGATCGTACCAACCTTGGGGAAGGTACAATAATAACTAATATTTTATAAGAATCACACTTTTAGAAAATTATTGGCGTCAACGCGGTAGCCTGGCGTCTTTAAATAATAATTAATGAAACTACACATTCATAATTTTTTTTTCCCCATGGCATATGGCACCTTCTTGGCTTCAAAAGAAATGAGCATCATGGATCCCCCAACAACCTTTATTTATTTACCTAACTTTTGTGATTACATTCTGGTTTGATTCCTTGACAACATAATGATATGCTATATGATTTAACTACTATATGTACGGGTATAAGCATCACCTGTGGTGCCACCTGTTATTAATAATATATGTACACATAATGATTAAATGTATGAATAAATTGAAATTGAATTGAATTGAAATTAGTCAATTATCCAATTTTAAAAATCAGTGAACTGTATCCATGTTATTAAATTTCTTGACATTACAGCCCTGTAAAATCTCATTGTCTACGACGTCAGAGAGTCAATTAATCTAATAAACTTGTTTCTTGTTAGATCATTCCTCTCGTATGTATTTGAACCTTCATGAATTCATGATGTATTGCTGTTTACAGGCAGGGAAGTTCAAAGGCCAGTTTATGACTGACAGCAAGAAGAGGAAACATTTTGCTAAACGCAAAATTTCTCAATTGAAGAAAGAGGTGAGTAACATCCCAGTCACATTTGTCGTACGGAGGCCGTGCGTCGACCTCAGATCAATTAAATCAGTGAATTTCTGCAGCGAGCGTAGAAAAACTATGCTCACCTCGCGGCCTCCGTAAGGCGTATCCAGTTTTTTACGGGCCGCAGGGTCGCCATAGAAATTATAACTCGGAGTTATAATATTTGTTCATTTCTGAGGTCCCCATAGAAATCAACTGGCTCAACAAGATTGAATCATTATTTGTCAATGTTTCACGATCACTTTTCATTTGATATTACATCCTAAATGAATAATATTTATAAATTGTCCTAATGTAAATAAAATGAAAAAAGTATTATTTATCAACAGAAATTTAAAATTCACCGTGCGGCTGCTGTGGGAAATGTGACTGCAAAAGTATAAGAGCGCAGAAATTCTACGGCGAGCGTAGAAAAGCTACTGGCCGCAGAAATGATAGACCGCATGGCGGCCGTGGGAAATGTGACGTGGGTGTTACTGTTGCTATTTGATTGATACCCTATGGCAGAGCCATTAAGCCACCATATTCAAGTGTAATACCAATTAATCCCAAAAAGTGGCTGCAGCACCCACCTTAGATTTTGAAAAAAGGCTTGATCAAGTGAATGTAAAACTCTTTTTCTTGATTTTCTGATTTTTCATGTGGATGCAATTAAGATTTTTTAGGTGCAAGCTTCTTTAAAATGTCAATTTGTTCAGGCGCCCACTTGCTTTATTGGTGGTAAAATCACTTATGTCTTGTTTGTTCTAATATAAATATATATTATGTTATACAGCCATTTTTATGTATGTTATATTGTGATTTGCTATAACTGAAAAATTAGTATAAGGATTTAGTGAAAATGGCAGCCATGGCTATTTGATGGAAATTGCTTCACTAATAATTTTTTATTTAGGTCAAGGAACTATACACCAGAACAGGCGTTATGGGAATGATGATGTTCTATAATGAGGGCAGTGTAGAGATAGTATGTAAGTAAACTCCACATACAATGTACCTGCTTTAAGCGACATGTGTTTTCAAATTAATGATGTTAAAAAGGAGATTCAAAATATTGAACAATTGTAATGATTTTTGGCTTGAAACATGGACTTCTAAAAGTAGAATTTGCAATGATTATGTAGACATTAAAATACATCACAAACATTTGATTGTCCTGATTTTCTCATATTTTGTGCCTTATATTGTGACATGTATTAAGATAAAATAAGGCAGCTGATGTTTAAGGTTCTGGGAGAGTCCAAGGCTTTTGTGACAATGAACTCGTAACAAAGTTATTGTCCAAAATAAACAGTGGTGATTTACCTGAAGAGCAAGATTCACCTAAAGGTAATCATCTTATTATTAGAATATATGTGATGAAAATGCTGCCCATATCCAAAATCCTACTTTCTTGCCCTTTTAATTCTAATATTCATGTCCAACTAAACATTAAACTTCCATTTAGACTAGCTACACTATCAAGTAATCAATCATTATCAAATACATTACAACAATATATTCTCCCTGAATTTTTCCTATTGTGTCAGGTAATATGTAAATTACTTGCAATAAATATATTCAAATTATATTGTATTGTATTGTAGCCTTTATTACTACATTTTAGTGTGAGAGTAAAGTATATTTAGTCCTTTTTTATTAATATTTAGTATACATTTTTTCAAGCAGACATGTACAGTAGCTGAATATGATTGAAAGCATGAAATATGGAAATCAACTTAGTTGTAGTATAGAGCGCAAGTGAATAAATCATCACTGATGCGATTGTTGTTGCTGTGTATTGTACCAGTAGCACATTGTCATCACTGTTTGAAAGTCACTTTCAAGTTGCGCTAAGTGGACCTACCGGGATAATAGAAGCAAGAGTAGTCATAAGTAGTCAATGTAAGGTATTCAGGTATACAGCTTTTACAGCAAATTAGATAATTAAATGTAACTTTAATTGGTGTATTATTGAGAGATAGTTTATGTACAAAATCGATTTATTTATTATATGAATGATGAATTGTATTGTTTAGAGAATTTAGTGTAAATGCTAGATTGTTTCTCAGCCGGCATAGGTAACTTGTTTGATGTCGATGCAAAAAGCAGATATGTCGATCAGCTGAGGAGCATTGTAGCTGCAACCCATAAAAGGACCTCAGGTACAGTTTAATAATCTTGTGTTCGTTATTTGATCTTAGTATTGTATGTGTATTTACATCTATAGATTACAAATCTCAATATCCTAGATGCGAGTAAAAATAATCTTGATTTACGTCATTAAAATTACATCTAGAAATGTGGTTTTGAAAAGAGTTTATCAACTTTGAAAATTTAATTTTCTTTGAAAATGTGACTTCAAGGGCGGGGAGATTCCCCATAGACCCCATGTTGTAAAACCACAAAAAGCGAAATATCTTGTGTTGGGTAGATAATATTTTCTTTTACTGGACATATTTTAATTTGTATATCTATCACATACATAAGGGTTATATGAAAAGTGAACCACTAAAACTGATGAATATTCAGGTTTAAGGGAAGTTTGTAATACCCTGCCATGTTATTTCCCCCGAAGTAGCCACCTGGTGGTGAAACTGGTAACTACCTACTCGCATCGGAGTAATTGATCAGTTGTATGTCTGACACAACTGTTTTCTTCTTTAAATGGGTATTATTGAAGAACATGCACAACATTAAGCAGAATAAGTCACCAAAATTAGTTCTAACTGAATATTTTGTTAAATTGTTTTTATAATTTTTATAATGTCAGCCCAATCTAAATTAATTGTGATAATGGGTAAAAATTATATGTAACAATAGGTCATGGGCGGAAATCAAAATGGTTACCTGAAAACAAGCCAGAATGGTGGCCAGAGGGTATTGTCTTCTGCTCCCCGAATGCTGGAAGTAAGTCTTCAATCTGTATAGTAGTGCCACAATGCCAAAATATCTGGATGTATATCTAACCATATTAGACCTTTTCGATAAATTCAATCAACATTCTCCATTAGTTATTTTTTTATTAAAATATTTTATTATAGTGTCTCTAGTTTATACATACATTTTTACAATAAATATAACATTTTTATAATACCACCAGCTGATGGTGGCTTATGAGACACTGATCATTATACGGTCAGTTTATAACAGTGTTCATTTGAGCAATAAATATCAATATATATGAGAGAAAAACTAAAATTCATCATTAGTCAATGGGTGACAAAAACTACTGAATGTTTGTTTGACATAACCTTCCTTTGCTCAAATATTGAAAATATCATTATCTCGGGCAGTCTTTAAATTCAAATCTATTTTGATCTGCTCAAGAAGTCATACAGCTAAGGTCAATAAAATACCAGGCTACTGAAAGCAGGTCAAGTTATGACTGGGGTAGAACACAACTCTAATCGATGAAATAATATAAAAATTTAATCTATAGCTAAGGACACTCCTAGACATACCATGCCACAACTTGAGGAGATATACAATGCAGCTAAGGAATATTTTGAGGTATGAATGTACAGTATCTTTATTTAGAATCATACCATGTTAACCATGTTAGATTTAATATTTCTTCATTGGGAAAAACATCTTATGCATCCTAGAACTGTTTTAACACATGTTCTTTTATTGAATTAACCTTCCAGGTACAGCATTTTCTTTAAATGAAAAATAGAATTTAGTAGGCATCCTCATATCTCAAAAAAAATGTGTTCTTAAACTTAAAGGTCCTAAAATATTATATGGTGGAATGTAGGCAGAAATAAGAGGCATTTTGAATTTATTGTTATGAAATATTTGATTAATAGGATGCTGAACAGAAAAGTGATGAAGATCAAGGAAATATGGAGGTAAGAAACTCAAGGTTGCTCAATGTAAGTAATAACCTTCCAGGTACAGCATTTTTCTTTAAATGAAAAATAGAATTTAGTAGGCATCCTCATATCTCAAGAAAATGTGTTCTTAAACTTAAAGGTCCTAAAATATTATATAGTGGAATGTAGGCAGAAATAAGAGGCATTTTGAATTTATTGTTATGAAATATTTGATTAATAGGATGCTGAACAGAAAAGTGATGAAGATCAAGGAAATATGGAGGTAAGAAACTCAAGGTTGCTCAATGTAAGTAATAACCTTCCAGGTACAGCATTTTTCTTTAAATGAAAAATAGAATTTAGTAGGCATCCTCATATCTCAAGAAAATGTGTTCTTAAACTTAAAGGTCCTAAAATATTATATAGTGGAATGTAGGCAGAAATAAGAGGCATTTTGAATTTATTGTTATGAAATATTTGATTAATAGGATGCTGAACAGAAAAGTGATGAAGATCAAGGAAATATGGAGGTAAGAAACTCAAGGTTGCTCACCATGCAATAGCAAAATGTTTTTTCCTGATCTGGATTTCAGAAGTTCCTCAAAAATGGCATATATAGTTCATTTGGCGCACATATCCTATCATATACATCACCATTGTTTTTCATCAGTTGTTCATACACTCATCATTCAGCATGCATTCACACAAATATGGCCAACCTATAATGCCAATATGGCGATTGGTGGCCGAAAATGTATTGACTTTACTTCAATAAAGTTTATACTATAAAAAAAAAAAATAGGTACATTGTTACATACACAAGTGTGTTTTCATGGGTGTATACAATCACTAGTTTGTATTTTCAGCATTAAATGCACTCATTAAAATGTTTCTGTGTGTTTTAAACTAAGTAGAGTTCCCTACCTGCTGCTTGTTGGCTACTAACTATGTGGTCACTAATCTAATTAGCATGAATTTTAGGTTTAGATATATCATTGACTTTGAAAGTACAAAATTAAATATCTTTTTAGAGCAGTACGAAATTACATACTGATAATATAATACATTATGTATAACATACCATTAACATTATGTAGTTGCATTTGCAATTGAATGAGTGAACAGTTAATTCTTTTATTTAGTGTTCTTCCTCCATTTGTTGGAATAGAGGAGAGGAGGTATTAGGATGTGCCTCATGTCCACGATGGCTGCACTACAGATGCCTTGGCATCCCAAAAGGAACTCTAGAACAGCTAGGCATCACATGGAAATGTTGCAGCCCCCAAATGTCACAAAGGTTAGTACATACATCACAACATATAATATCACAAAAAGACATCACAACATAGGTGGATATGTTTATTAGTAATTTTTCATTGTTCATCTTTTTACACTTTATTATTTGTGAATGATTTACTATGTCTTTATTGTAGTATTATAAGACTACCTGTGGGTTTTGCCTTGACAACGGATGAGATTGCCCAATTCCAGCCTGGGGGATGTTGCACTATGGATGGAATTAATTTTTTCATTTTGTTAGTGTACTATTTTTTCTTTATCTCAATATGTAATATCTTGATAATTAAGTGTGAGATATTTCAGATTTATTTTTGTCATCTAATTTTACAAATTATTAAAAGAGAAAAATATATACATTCACATTTTTACACATCCCATATTAAAATAAGATAATAAGTAAAATATTTAAGTAATATAACATGGTGAAACAAAGTTGTTAGCTTTAACTTATGTTTGTAGTCTATTATTGTTTTAGCACCCAGTGCAGGTTCAACAGCACATTAGTGCTGAATGCTACCACTTCCCAACTGTTCCTCAATGACATCTCGTATGCTGGCCATGAGGAAGTTCACCGGAGATGGAACCCTTTCCTTGGTTCCACTGTTGAACATGTTGTGGTTCCAGTCCTGTAAGTTATTTGTTAAATTAGCAAAACTGTATCTATATTACATACCAAAGATTTATATATTAGCAACATGTACATGTATTGTTAAACATTTCGTAGTAATATTACATCCATGACACTACTCTGGAATTAGCATGTAAAAGGAATCAAAAAGTTGAATGATTGAACCAGTAGTGCTTATCCTTGTTGTGGTATAGTTCTAGAAGGAACAGTGTTCCTATTAGGCCTAGGAAAGGTTAAATTAAAGGAAGATAAAAGTGGATCCTCTGTAAAACGAGGAAATTTTGTAAAAGTTGACAATTGGACAACAAAGCTGAGATAATTATTAAAATACTTAAATCATGAGATGTAATCAGTGAATATATTTGTAAATTCTCTCTAACTTTTAAAACCAACACACTTGGTCTGGTTATCTCGCACTTGAGTCGGTATCAGGATTTGGATTAAAAAAATGATGTCGCAACCCTGAATTTGTATGTATTAAGTTTCCAGTCACACCTTATGAATGTTAATGAACCTTAAATATTTTAGCCATTCGGAGCACTGGATCCTTCTACATTACGCTGTTGGAGAAAGGTATGTAACAAAAAAGTATATACATGTAAAATTAAGTACACCTACTATCAATCATACTCAAACTAATGGATGAATGTTCAAAAAGTTATTGTAAAAGATGTAATGTTAAACAATAATTGTGGAGATTTTTGAAGGAATTTTTAAGCATATGTTTTGAGTAAATTGTTTTAGACCATTAGTTATACCAAGTTTTAAGTAAATTCAAAAAAATGTTAAGATGACTTTAGGTCATATGTCAAATATTTCAATTCAAAATTATTTTCAGGATGGTAAAGTGCTATGATTCGCTAAACACAGGAAAGGCGATGAAGACCTCATACCAACAATATATCTGCAGATTTGTAAAGTAAATTGTCTATGTTAAATGTATGATAGTATATATAAATGTATAATGTACATATTTAGCTTAAAAGACCAAGTGAGACAACAACTCAAGCTCGAAAAGGCTATCTCCATAGGAGGAAGTTTAGAGCTGTTTAAAGTCACTGATATGCCCAAATGTGAATTTCTTCATTAATAACGGTTCATTATAGTTATGTAGGCTCAAAATACTGTAAATTTTGAATAATTCAATTTCCAATGATACCTACATACATATACAGATTTATTAATATTGTGTTTGTTGGTATTTGCTACTCTGTGGAGGCGCCAATTTCTTGTTTTAACACATTATTTATTGGAATTACCTATATCTTTTTACAGATATTTCAATGGCATAAGTAGGACATTTGGTTTTGAGCCTCTAAATGAGGTGGGGATAAGAGTCATAAGTCAAAAGGTAAGATGTGTGCTTTACTTTAAGTCCTATAATAATACAAATCAATCTCACTAGAGTATGCAACAGGAAAACAAAGAATGAATTAGAAGCTTCAGTTAGTGAACACAGGTCTTGTCTAGTATGCACAAGCTTAAAAATTTAATGACATATTTTGTAATTCTATGTTTTTTTTATCCTAGTGTACCCAACAAACAAATGGTACAGACTGCGGGTTTGCAGTTATGAAGAATATACATTGTATTGGTCAGGTACTGTACATATGTTGTACATACATAGCAGTTTATATAAAACCTCATAAAAGTTTTAGTGTGACTTGTGCAATTTAATAATTGTTTGTATGGTTCTTAAAAAACGAAATAATCACTTGTTGATTACAAGGAATATTAAGTGTAAACTAAATGCAAAATCAATATTTACCAGTAATCCTACATTTCCATGTAATATCTAATATAATATCAGTTCTTGCATGCATGCAATTTGTGTCTTTTCTCTAATATTTCTGATAAATATTCAGGTGTACCTTCGTAGAAGCCCACACAGTAAATTGTTCAAACTTATCTATTTTAGGGCCTTCCAACAGTGTACAATGAGAAGGAATTCGCTGGAGTGAGGAGGCTTCTTCTTCAATCGACATATGGAATGTTATAGACAATAGTAAAAGTTGTATAAACTCTACAAAAATACTGATGGAAGTGTAGAAACAGCAAATTTGAATATCTTGTTATGATATATTACTTTTGAAATATGTCTTTACCTTGTCCATGTTAATGGTCCAATCTCATAAATCTGGTCATCCTCCATGTATATGTCATTATGTTCTGACATTATACACTGAATAATAGCTCATGCCTAAAGCCTATTGATAAGACTAGTACATGTGATATTTTGGCAATCTTTATTTTATTTTATTATTACATGTTACAAACTTTACTCCAAATGTGTTTAGTTGCAGTGTATCAATATGAATATATCTTAAGGGTATGCTTTTTCCCAGCTGTGAGACATACTGTAAGAGCCACAGATGTGTCAAAATGAGGTTCTACTTGGATTGCCTAAATGACTAAGACCAGCTTAAATTTCATTGGAATGACATTGTTTTGTTTTGTTTTTATAATTCTGTTATTAATGATTCTAGAATATAATCTTCATAACAACACAGCAGTTATATTTTTGTTTTTTCATCCATGACAATCATAGTAGTCAAAAGACATAACGAAAAGATATGTTTTCAATAATATCGATCAAGTTCCTAAATTCAAGAATTCCCAAAATGTGGTTGAATGATCGTATATTGTTCATTCGACCACATGTACGTTCTGTCAGAAGAAATGTATGTACTCATTAAAAAAACACAATTATGACAATTATAGTAGTCAAAAGACACAACGAAACGATAGATTTTCAATAATATCGATATAGTTCCTAAATTCAATAATTCCCAAAATGTGGTTGAATGATCGTACATTGTTCATTCGACCACATGTTTATTCTGTCAGAAAAAATGAATGTACTAATTAAAAAACACAATTATGACAATTATAGTAGTCAAAAGACACAACGAAACGATATGTTTTCGATAATATCGATCTAGTTCCTAAATTCAAAAATTCCCAAAATGTGGTTGAATGATCGTATATTGTTCATTCGACCACATGCTCCTTCTGTCAGAAGAAATGTATGTACTCATTAAAAACACAATTATGACAATCATAGTAGTCAAAAGACACAACGAAACGATATGTTTTCAATAATATCGATCAAGTTCCTAAATTCAAGAATTCCCAAAATGTGGTTGAATGATCGTATATTGTTCATTCGACCACATGTTTATTCTGTCAGAAAAAATGAATGTACTAATTAAAAAACACAATTATGACAATTATAGTAGTCAAAAGACACAACGAAACGATATGTTTTCGATAATATCGATCTAGTTCCTAAATTCAAAAATTCCCAAAATGTGGTTGAATGATCGTATATTGTTCATTCGACCACATGCTCCTTCTGTCAGAAGAAATGTATGTACTCATTAAAAACACAATTATGACAATCATAGTAGTCAAAAGACACAACGAAACGATATGTTTTCAATAATATCGATCAAGTTCCTAAATTCAAAAATTCCCAAAATGTGGTTGAATGATCGTATATTGTTCATACGACCACATATTCGTTCTGTCAGAAAAATGTATGTACTCATTAAAAAACACAATTATGACCATTAAGACATAATCCAATTGAGTTAATATAGTTAAGAAATCGAGGTATTGGTTTAAGAGTTCAAATTCGTGCGAAATATATTTGCGAAATGTATGAATGCTGAAATCTTTGGGAATTACTGCAGTTAAGAGGTAGAGAACCATCACATCCATTGTAAGAGAAGCAGAGAGATGGTCAAGATGGCTGTGGCTAAGGCGATTGTGCACATGAACGATCCTGCACGTACGTGTACTTGTCCTGAGTTCTACATTGATTGAATGCACAGTATCAAACCTCAATAATGGACGTACTTGTAAATTATTAATTTGACCAATTGGCGATGCCTGTATTGGTGTGAATTTAACAACCAGCAAACGACAGGACCGACTTTGGGGAAGGTGTTCTGTCACGGGTGTTCCATTATGTAAACTATTACAATGGAAGGGGCGTATACAGCAAGAGGTAGGCAGGCACTCGTCAATCATTTAAGGGGGTGTAAACGGACTTATGAAAGTCGGAGTAACTTTAGCGTCCCATACGTCTGTCTAAAGATAACAAACTTTACACCATGTATACAAGTATTATCAAGAAAGTAACTTCCAGCCTTGCCCTTTTTAAAAAAATACTATACAAACTCCAATCTCTAGATTAGAAGAAAGAATAGTGTCATGATCCAACCTAATGAGATACTGTATCTTGTAGGAGAAACCTGCAATAGACTTGACGTCAATAACCTATTTGAAAAATCCTATAAAGAAGTCTACAAAAGGTCATGTCTCTATGCATTTCAGTTGAAATACCTACAGAGCAACATTCTATAGAATCAACACATTTTAAACTCGTTTCAAAAATAATTTGTTATGTTTTCGCACCAAATGTCTTTCTGTTTTATTTTTGCGCAGTCATGGATGTTTGATGTTTGACCTCTCTCGAATGAGGTATGTGAATGAAAGATGCAAGTCTTAGCTTTGCGATGCTACCATTATTAATTTAATCTGACAACTGTAATAGATGCAAAATGTAGATAGACAAAATATCTTTCTCAAAAATGTTAGTACCCGCAAGTGCGTATTTTGAAATATAAGTGGGTATTTTGAATGTGTTTGTTTGTCACAAATACGCGCTAAGAAACGTAACGTTCAATTCCGGATTCGTTTTTCTCCTATACTGTTCATTCAACCATTTCTTTTGTCCGAAATAACCAAAAAGTCTAAAAATATAATTATGAACATTCCTAGACGTATTAATAAAGACAACAAAGTTTTAATTTCAATTAGGCTATTAAAGGCAGTTACTAAATTCAACGATTCCCGTCTTGTCGAATCTCCCTATTTTGTTCATTCAACCATTTTTTGTTCTGACAGTAAAAATAGCCAAATATCTAAGAAATACAATATTATGACCATTAATAGACGTATTTGCAAAATGCAACAAAGTTAAGACTATTGAAATTAATTACTCAATTCAACGATTCCCATCTTGTGGTCGAATCTTCCTATTTTGTTCATTCAACCATTTTTTGTTCTGACAGTAAAAATTGCCAAATATCTAAGAAATACAATATTATGACCATTAATAGACGTATTTGCTAAATGCAACAAAGTTAAGACTATTGAAATTAGTTACTCAATTCAACGATTCCAATCTTGTGGTCGAATCTTCCTATTTTGTTCATTCAACCATTATTTTGCCAAAACAGGGTGACATAAAAAACATTTATCCTCAATATTTGGAATACTTTTTATCGTATGATCTGTAAAATGAAGCCCTCTGATTGGTCAGTTCTTGTGCTGTACTAACCTGTATTGTGACTGAGATTGTCCCCGTTGATCATCTCCGTCGCAATACAGAAAATATTGGTACAGAGGCGGGGACAATCTCAGTAGCAATGTAGAGGATCACACGATAAAAACGTTATTGAATGATTTGAAGTGCAATACAGGATATATTCTGTCTCGATATTCTGTATTGGCACTACAGGATATATTGTCTCGATATTCTGTATTGGCACTCGACTTCGTCTCGTTCCAATACGGAATTCTTGAGCAGAATATATATTGTATCGCACTTCAAATCATTCAATAAATTATAATATGATAATGGAATCTTTAGAATATTGGTAAAAATAGTATTCAATGCGTAACACAGGTGTATGTCGCACTTGCATAACATCAGTAAATAAAATTCAAGGTAATAATGCCAAAATCATCAAAGGATTTGGATTCATTCTTATCCATTTCTCATTTATGTCTTCACCATTACTTCGGCCACCATGCAATAATTTTGTAAAATTAGATGAAGTGATTTGCTTATTCAGTAAATATTGAGAGTTCCTAATTTTAATCTTTGACATGTTTGAGTGATTTGACAACTTCCATGAAATACTGTTGTGCCTTATACTAGTAATCAACAAAGAATTCATTTTTCAAGTTATGGTAAATATTTATTGTCCAAAATGTGATAACACCTTCTTTTTTAACTATCTTTGTTTTCTTTGAAGGTATAAGCTAATGCAATTACCTTTCTAATGAGTAATTAACACATGTAAAAGCTACATTTATAATTCATAAACAGATAAAAACATACTGTATCATATCATACATGTAGCAAAGTAAATCAGCAATACATGTAGATGGGAAATAGGTTAACATACATCTTAAAAGGAGTACTTACATGTACACTTACATCTATTTTATAAAGAGTAATACACAGGTGTATTCTAATTAGATATAACATTAATGGAAAACATCATTTCAAGTAAGTATAGTCCATGTGCCTCCTAGACATAATATTATACCAGCATGTTATTGCTTGCTATACACACATGTACAGTAAAACCTGTCTAAGTGGAACACCTTTGGTACCTCTAAATTGTTCCACTTGAGAGGTGTTCCACTTGTTCATTTAACATTAGACATAATATTGTACCAGCATGTTATTGCTTGCTATACACACATGTACAGTAAAACCTGTCTAAGCTGAACACCTTTGGTACCTCTAAATTGTTCCACTTGAGAGGTGTTCCACTTGTTCATTTAACATTAAGCCAGCTGGTCTCGGGATATTTTTGGACTTATTCTTGCAGTTCATAATCTGAGTAATGTATCATCAGCATGAAATTACCAGATATAGCATTGATATTTTCAAAGTCCATACCTTGACACATCACCTGACAGATTCAAATTCCACTTAGAGATGAGCACAGAAAAAACTTATTTAAATACATTTAAAAATCATACTAGCTATCTTAACATACACTGCTCTTACATACATATCAAAGTACATGTACTGAGATGTCTACACCTGGATATCATCTAAAGCTTTTCAATAACTCTTTTGTTATGCATGTACAAATATAAGGAACAGTGTAACATAAAATTGTCTTGGCTCATGTATGCCAAAAAAGATTTGATTTTTTTGAGTCCAGAATTAATTTGTTCGTTTATCTGGCTGTTCAGTTTTCGGAACTGAGGGTAGCTGTCAAGTTTGTACCCAATAGGACATGCTGAAAAAATAGAAATTGTAATACTTTGACATGATCGTATAGACAATGCCATCAATATGTATTTTGAGGAATACGAGATGGAACATGTAAACACAAATTTCTTAAATGCTATGATACAAACACAAACAAATATATAGAGGTTATTTACTGGGAGGAATTGAATATAGGTTTTATTCTGAGGGAAATATGATATTGGCCAAGGGAAATATCATACGTAGTTTTGACTGAGGGTGATAGCCCAAGTGTCAATATAATATTTTCAGAGGCCAATGTCATATTTTCTCAAGGACAAAATTCATATTTCATCACGACCATCAATAACCTATTTATTTCATAAATTTTTTTCTGAAACTTATTTTTATTAAGTTTTGTATATCATGTCATCACCCAATGATGGTTACATAAAATTATGCAATTTAAAATATAAATAATTTATAAAACTAAAATGAGTGAAATT